CAATAAAAATTTTAATTTTTTAAGTATATTTTAAAATATACGTGTCGGTCATATTCACCCTACTTTATACCCTTGTCCTCCCGAGAAGTATATGAGAATGTCCCGGGAAATCCTACTCCGGCTGTGTTCAAGGTCATCCAGCTGTGTAAACAATGACTCATCCCTGTTATATTTCACAGAAAGAGGAGACAAAGGAAAATAAACTTTGAAGCTTTTTCTTCAAAATTAACGCATTTCTTTCGTTTTTTTTCAGTTTTAAGTATTTTTTACGTTTAATTAAATTAATGATTATAAAATATCAAAAATCTCAATGTCCTTAAGGGGTTAAACAACTTTAGTTCTTCGCCCGAGTTAATTCGGGTACGTTACATAGCGTTACATAAAACTCGGTCCTTTCGGCTCCAAAAACAGTTTTTGTTTTTTTTTTGAATTTTTGGATTGTTTTTTAAGTCTCCAAATTTTTTCAAAAATTTTTACCCGCGCAAAAAAATTTTATCACGATTTTAATGAGCTTTTCATAAGGCTCGATTAAGGCTTAATTGTTTTTTAATGGGAGTTTTTTATCAAATTTATTTCATGGTTCCTAAGTTGTAGCTCACGGATTTTCCTACGGTAAAGTTATTTAAAGCTGCTTTCTGATATCAAAAACTACCTCCAGTAGTTTTTTAATTTTTTTTAATTAATAGATTTTATTATATACACGTTTAAATTAAGTCGGGGAGGTCGGAAATCTCAATTAAAATTTGAATTTTTTAAAAATATTTAAAAGTATAGGGCCAGCTAGAACTAACCCTACTTTAAACCCTTGTCCTCCCGAGACTTCTATGAGAATGTCCCGGGAAATCCGACTCCAGCTGTGTTCAAGGTCATCCAGCTGTGTAAACAATGACTCATCAGTGTCAAATTTCGCAAAAAGGCCAGACAAAGGAAAATAAAGTTTGAAGCTTTTTCTTCAAAATTAACGCATTTCTTTCGTTTTTTCAGTTTTAAGTATTCTTTATGTTTAATTACATTAATATCAAAAATTGCTGGAAACTTAAGGTGTTAAATATAAACGAGCTTTACGAACTAATGCTTCAAACTTCCTTCGCTAATACTGTTCGAAAGTGTTCTAACGTTCAACTAAATCAATGTACTGCAGCGGTTTTAAGGCACAAAGTAAAACTCAAAGCCATTTTCTGTGATGCTGCTTATTTTTTCGTTTTATCATCATGACGACTGTTTCCTCCAAAACTTGCTTTAGTTGTATCTGTGTAATATGCACCTTATATGTTGAGTTTTACTGTCAAATCTGGCTGCACTGTTCTTATGTTACAACTTCCAAGTTTCCTTCATTTAGACAATTTTTTTCTAAGCTTTAACTTTTACCTTTTGTGATATATTCAAATCACATTCACATGTTAGCCTGCAGATTATTCTAAGTGTCCTAGAAAATAATTATGAAAAATGTGGTTCAGATCAAGCAAAACGTTTAAAAGTTAATAGGAAAGATTAACTCAGGGGGTATGGTTTTCGTGTTAGCCTGTATTTTCTTTGGTGTCTCAGAAAAAAAAATATAATAAAAAATATGATATATAATATAAAAACGTGTCAATGAATTATGGAAATAAACTTTATTCGCTTAAGTCACTTGTACACAATAGTTTCGAACAAGACACACAGAACGTGCACAATATCACAGTACTAAAAAAGTCGTAAAACACTAAATCAATTTTAACAAATATGTTTTTCAATACAATTCTCATAAAAGAATTGTAAATTTAATAACAGTCGGAACACGTTGGACTGTGATACAGATTTTTAAAAAGTAAATAGCAACTTGGTTTTAGGTAATGCACTGAAAGGACATTTAAGAGGTTTCAAAAGATCCAGCAACGAGTTGCGTATCTTTCTCCGCTGTTAACACATTTTATTTACAAAATAACTTTTATATTATTAATCATAATATATAAACTTGCGTGCGTTATGATATTTTATTACAAATTTTTTATTAATATTTTTAATTTCGAAGTTACAAATGAATTTTTAAATGCTAATAACAAAAGAAAATCTTCATTAAACCCTCCTCGATACAGAAAAACTTCGTTATTTCAAAATTCAATGACCCAAAAAACATTACATTAAATTAACCGGGTTCGAATAATCTACTTTTTTTAATCGAAATGTTCTGTAATTCTCGAATAAAATTATGTGATTATCTCCATTTTAGTCAAAAATTACAAAAAATTTAGATTCGATAAAAAGGGACGTAAGACAGTTCAGGCACATTTTAACAGTGTGTTCTATTCATCTCCTTGTATTAAAAAGTGCAGTACCTTACAAAGGAGTTCAAGTATTTTGTATTTAGGTTCGAAATATTCAAAATGTAAATGAGAAAGAATTTTCACAATTACTAAATTTCATATTTATCTTCACATTACTTTACAATACGAAGTCATATTATTATGTTAGAAAAACTGCGCAGGAAACAATGCAGTATTCTGCATTTATAAATTACTGTACTTGTAAATGAAATTTTTGTTATCTTAAAAATAATGATAGATATTATTTACTTGTTAAAACGTGAAACTGAAGTGTAGATTTTCTAAAATTTTATATTTAATAAATTGTGATTTGCATAATTCTTTGTCTCGTCACTCTGCGAGTTTCTCTTTTGTCTGCATTGTTAAATCCCACTTTTCTTTTACGAATTTGCACATTCACTGTATTTTAATAATGTCGTATAAGATTGATATTATCGTTGTATTGTTAACTCTGTTGTACGTTAACTTATTTAATGGATGTTCTCTAAAAGACAAAGTAAGTAGTCTGTCCTCAAAATAAAATGAACGGGTCAGTTGAGTAAGAATATTAATTTGCTTATACTTTTACATTAAAAGAAATAAATCCTTAGGGACAGGAGGCCTGGAATAACTATATACGTACTTCTGATGCAAACTAGAAGTCACTTTATTTCAATTCAAATATTTCCTCCTGAAAGCCGGAACGACTATTGTTAATATAATAGTAGATGAAGCCACAACAATTTTAAAATTTTGCCGTGAATTTAAGCTACTCGTTACTGAATTTTTTTGCAGGTAACGATCAGTATGTCGGTCATCTTGTTCGTAATTTCCATGATTGTAATAGTGGACTACATTCATGCAGCATTCAATATATTCGAAACAATAAGATTTCTCGTGTCGATTATTTTAGCGACGATAATTTTGTGGACTTGGGAAACATGTAGATGGTTCAGGTAAGAGTATTTCACCTGTTAATTGGAAATATTTACGTAAAATTTACATGAAATATATTTTGTACTCTAGTGAAAAGGTACTCGGTGTGGATCGAAGGCATTGGAACGTACAATCCGACCTGTATTTGTTCTTCTTCGAAACTCTCTTATTTTCTTTCACCTTAAAGTTCACAGATTTGAACGTCGTGAAGATTTGGAAAGAGCAGGGTTACATAACAGAATAGAACGACGTTGTTTTGTTACAGTATTGTAAAGAGCGTCTTGTACAAGATTCATTAATCGACCGTCTTCTCGTATTCTAAAGATTAATTTGAAAGATATTTTAATTTCCGTATTTATAAACTTTTAATTGGGTAACATTTTATACTGTTGTTAATGAATTTTATGTATTGTATGTATAATAACTTTTTCTACCTTTTGTGTAAATTTTGATCGCAGATAAATTTGTATGTTTGAACATTGCAATTATTAAGTCTTATTTGATTTAGATAAAAAAAACGAGTATTTAAGTCAGAAAGATTCCACGTGAAAACGTTTGTCTTGTCCCATAAATTCAATATTAACTTTGACGGCATTTCTCTATCTTCAAACAAATGTTCTTTTTTGGATTTATGCCTGTCTCTAATGCACATACTCCAAATGCCAATTATTTGAACCAAGTTCGAAAACAAACGAGTGACTCCATCTGATATTCAATATAATAAATTCGTGAAACATCGACTTCATTTGCTCCAAATACATATTCGCATCCGAAGTGTACATAAAGCACCATATCACTGAAAGAACTAAAATCTGTCCATGTTTCTGTTGTTGGACTACAGATGATTTTTTGGTAACGTAATACATATCCGAGCGATAGTCCAGTTTGTACACGCATTGCAATGTACAGTACTTCCTGGGCCCTTAGTCTCGAGTTTTTCGTGTTACAACTCCAAACGTGTTGAAGGTGTCACGTGGTACCATCTCACAAACTGACGTCAAATTGGTAGTCTCGAGTTCTAACTCACGTGCTTTCCCACCTCACCATGCGAGTTGCTACTCACGTTGAGTCGAGCATGTGAGATCGCTACACGAAAGTAAAAATGGCTGACGGATACGCAATTCTTATCGCTATCGAAGAGTTAGAAAGAGCCGAAAGACGTTGTTTGAGAAGGCAACGAATTTTTCGACCACGAGTAGATGACATTTCTTTTCGTGTCAAGTCAATACTAATAAAAAAAACTTTAATTCATAATTGATAAATGTATACAGCAAATTTTTCTAAAAATAAAAAGAAGTATCTAATTCATCGAAAAAGAGTATTAAAATGATAGTAAATTATATGTATAGATTATTAAAAGCATAGACACTACATTAAGATTATTTATTAATCAGAAGTGTTAAGTTCTGATTAATAAATAATCTTAATAGACAAAACAATTTAAGAAATAGATCAAGGAAGAAAACTATATGAAGAAAGGATTAAGTTTAAATACATTTTCCATTACATAACGGATTTTTTAGGTTCAACACACGCAATTAATTTTTCAAGTAATTCTCTCCACAAAGCGAATTGTCTTTTTCTTGTAAATTCGTTGTCGAATTTTCCGCTGTTCATTTTCTTATTATTTTCTATATATGTTACTAATATTTCTTTTTGTTCTTCGCTTATTTTTTAAAATAAAACATTCGAGGTTTTCATTTTGTTTCTGCGTACTATATTGCCACAAGACAACTTTTAACTGTAGCACGTGTAAACTAATTCGCGTTGATTTGTTTACAACTTGTTACAGTTAAGTTGATTGGTCGAATCATTATAGTCGCAAACCCAGATGCATTGTAAATAATCCCATCATGCTTAACGACACACGTAACCAAGTGAGTATGACGTATTTCCGCTCGCCTTTCGAGTTCGCTCGAGAGTCTAACTCGAGACTACCAATTATGTGAGTCATAGTAACACGAGTGAGTTCGATGACGTCAGTTCGAGTACAACACGAAAAACTCGAGATTAAGGGCCCTGGATGGTCATATCTGTAGCGGTTAACGCAATTTCGAAGCTTTGCAAGAAATGTGGATAAAGGCAGCAAATAAAACCTGTCTTTCACACACCCCGACAGAAAACAGTGACACGTTTTGTGGAATGGGGATCCTGGAGTTCTGGGGTCGGATATCGGCCATATCAGTATGTCTGAATATTCATAATGTGCATCGTGTTGCTATCTGTTATATCTTCACACGTATATTTCAAATTTGGACAGTTTGGTTTTTTGTTTCGTGTCTGGTGTACTGTACAAGACCCAGATCGAGAGTTCGGAAGTCACAAGACCCGACGATTGATTTCTAATAACCCTTTATATTGAATATGTTGGGGAGGAAAATATTTTCAAAAGAATAAAATGCCATGCAATTTTAAAGAGTAATCAATCCTATTAATAAACGAATTAATTAATTAAAATATTCAAAACTTTATAAGTAGAGTATTAACAAAATTCATTTCCGTTCGAATATAATACTCGTTCTTCCATTAGCATGTAATACAACAAAAATTAACATTTATTAATAAAATATAATAACGTAATACTTCTATATAGTGACGAAACGCCATTTATATTTATTTTTGCATTTCAAATCGAGTTGTTTGGACGTGTACATACACGTTTACATTGGATGACGTTACCAAAAATATTGTCATCTAGAGAATCTTCATAGAAAAATACTTCATTTATTTATTAACACTTTATTAATGTAAAATAAACGTAATCATTAATACTTTTACTTTAAAAAAAAAGTCTGCTTTGACCATTTATACATTTTCCTGGACGTCACTTCCGCTCAACTCATATTTAAAATTTAAAAATATTATATTAATAATCATTAATTTTAAACTTTTATTATTTATTTTAAAATAGATTTTGAAATTTATATTTGCTTGACGACCGTTACAAACCAGCGAATTGTCTAACGGTTAAGATTTAAAATGGCGAAAAGGTAGGTTTTAAAATGGAGCTCGGTATGATTAAAAAAATCTACCTTTCCTCCATTTTAAATGTTTACCGATAATTGTAGATAATTAATACTACGTATACCCCGTTGTCAAAAACAGTTCATAAACTTTTTGAACTGTTTTTGACAACGGGGAGAAAGAAATTGTTATAAACAATTCTTTTTTTTTTCGAAAGCAAACACGGAGTTGTTACTTTTAATTTTTATTAAATTTATTAAATTTTTATTAAAAATATTTATGTTTTGGCTGTATCGTAGGGATCAATTGTTACTTTTCAAACAAGGAATTACCCTTTTTGTATTAACGTACCGAAAATAGTCAGTTTCATTTTGGCTCATCGATGAAAGCATTTGGATTTCATTTATTCTTCATATTTTGCTACACTCTTCTTAAGTATTGCAAAATATCGATTTGTATATTTAAAATAAGTTTTTAAAATACGTTTTAATTGATAAGAAAAATTAGACATTATTATTCCTTAATGTATAATTTCTACATTTTAAGATGTATCCTGGAGACCCAATATTTCTCTCGAAGAGTTTCGGTGAAGAATTACAAGTTTGGAGGATGGGAATGAATATTTACTTGTGAAGAAATGAATTTGAAATGAAGAACATTTACCTTTTAGCAAATTTACTATGACGATTGTGTTGATTCATAAACTTTTTGAACTGTTTTTGACAACGGGGAGAAAGAAATTGTTATAAACAATTCTTTTTTTTTTCGAAAGCAAACACGGAGTTGTTACTTTTAATTTTTATTAAATTTAGATTTATTTGTTGAGATATTGTAAAACAATTATTGATAAGAAACGTAAAAGTATTGGTTTCTGAGTTTCATTGCAGGAATTAATAATAATCGATTACTTTTGACTGTTAATATTGAAGTTTAATATTTTTTTGCTTTATAGATTTCTTCAACCAAACTCTACAGAAGAAGCAGAAGTTTGTCTGTGAAAACTGTGGGAAAGTATTCCGCTGTAAGTCACAGTTTCAAAGTCATAGTAGGATTCACACGGGAGAAAAGCCCTTCTGTTGCCAATTATGTAGTAAAAGATTCAATCGGGCTTCCAATTTACGAAGACATCTGAAGTTTCATACCGGACGGAAACCTTTTACTTGCGACTACTGCAAACGGAGTTTCACACAAAGACAACATCTCGTAAGCCATCTTCGCATTCACACGGGAGAAAAGCCCTTCTGTTGCCAATTATGTAGTAAAAGATTCACTCAGGCTTCCAATTTACGAAGACATCTGAGGATGCATACCGGAGAGAAACCTTTTACTTGCGACCACTGCAAACGGAGTTTCACAGAAAGACAACATCTCGTAAGCCATCTTCGCATTCACACGTGAGAAAAGCCGTTTAAATGCGATTATTGTTTACAAAAGTTCTCTCGGAAATGCTATTTGAAATCTCACATGAAATGTCATTTCACAGAGAATCTTAAATAATATAATTGTTGTAAAATGTTTCGTACTTGAAAGGAATAAGATAATTCCTAACTTCATTAATATTTATTTTATTGAAATTTGTCTTGAAATTTTATGAAAATGGTTTTTCGTTTTAAGTTAGTAATTATTGTATTATTAATGTTATAGAAATAAAAAGGTTTTGGAATTGTGATAAAGAGTTTTGATATTATCGAGATTACAACGATGAGAATATTTACATTGTTACGAAAACGTGGAGAATACAAGATGAAAATGTTCTGTATCATTACGAAAGGAAGTTTAAAGGGAAATTGATTTTAAATTACTTGTAAAATGGAGCTATCATTTCGCTTACCTAGATTTTTACATATAATAGGCCTATATATATATATATATACAGTAACACCTCGATTAACGCTGTCTGCTCGAAGCCTACAAAAAAGTCAGAATTTACGTTAATTCAAATTATCTCTGCATTTCATTAATTCGTAAATAATGCAATTATTCCCGAACACGAACCAATCAGCAAAAGATGGCAATTTGTACTTCCCCTAAATCTATGTTTGTTTGGTGCAATTTTGGAAAAAATATAACATCGTGAATGTCTTAGACAATATCGACTTCTCTTGGCAAGAATTAACTGATAAATGCACAAATGGAGTGTGGGAGAAGTGCCGGAGGTATCCAAGAATTCTCAACGAGAAGAGTCTATCGCTGTATCACTCATTAGGTTGACCAAATTGCCAACTTAATCGATACAGCATGACTAGGAGATATAGACGACCAGAATATTGAAGAGTTACCGCAGGTTTCTGGTGAGTCTTACCAACGATGACCTTCAAGAACTGAAAAACAAGGAATTCATGTAGAACTGGAAAATAGTGATTCTGAAAACGAAGAACCCAAAGAACTTTCTGCAGATTTCCACAGTAAAAGTTTGGTAACGAGTAATTGTACAGAATGATTCAGATTTTGAAAGGTGTGCAAAAACAAGAAGAGGCGTTTTGAATGCAATCTTCTGCTACCGATATTTGTTTAATTTAAAAAAAACAAAAAATCCCCCCGACAAATGATATTAGACGATTTCATCGCAAAAAAGTGAAGAATTTCAGAAAAGCCAGGATTTTCATCACAAAAATAAACTTTATATTTCTGTGTTATGTATCATTATTAATATGCAAATTAATATAAAAATAACAAAATTAAACTAAAATTTGTTTATCTTAAGTCGCGTATTTTCCTTTACCTATTCACTATGTGTTAAAATGACCTCGTTT